ACTCTGATGCGATTCGCCAATCACTTGTGATGGTGGGCAAACCAGTGTGAAGTACCCTGGGTCATCGAGAACCCCCACTCGAGTTTGATATGGCGCGCTGAAGCGTTCCAGAAGTTGAAGTTTTCCCCCGGATGACCTCGGTCACTACTCGTATGTGCTATTCGTATGTGCGGCCTTGGGGCCCGCCGGCTGAAGCCCATTGCCTTCTGGGCCTGTGGGCTAAACAACGTACAACGCATGGGATCCAAATGTCGGAGCTTCGGGCGCACGCCGTGCGAGCATTCGGGCAATTCTCATATTTTTGGCTTGGTCCTGGCCCCACGGGGGTGCGCCAGACCAAACGTGCCGCCGTTTAGGTTGCGACCCTGGCAAGTATTTTTGTCGCTGCTGGGTTGATTCGCGTGCTGAAAGACGCCAGTTCCTCGCACATCCAAGTGGCGCCGTGGGCAATATCAAAATTTCAGCGTGAGCACCCTGGGACCGCCACCGTGTTGTGCGAAGTTTGCTGGTTACTCAGCAGGCTTCGCCTCTGCGCGGCCCCTCGCTTGCTGTGCCTCGCCGCACCTTCGCTGCGTCGGATCAACACATCCGGCACAAGAAAATGGAACGCTATGATTGATGGGTTCGCTGCGCGTGGGATTTACGAGATTAACCGTATGTTCGCTACACAGCCTTTCTCCCGCCATCCACAGACCCCGCCACCGCCCATTATGTAAGTTAAGGCTTGGATTGTTCGGCTGACCTCACCCTGGCACCACACAAGAAGGAGGGTGGTTATTCAGCAGGCTTTGCCTCGGCACGGCCCCGCGTTTGCTGCGCCTCGCCTCACCGTCGCTGCGTCGGATATCCATAGGCTCCTGTCACAAATGATACCAGAGAAAAACCCAAATCATAATCCTTGAGGGGTATCGGGCTATGGGGCTATCGGGCTATAAGGCTCTGGGGCTATAGGGCTATAGGGCTATAGGTCTTATAGGGCTATAGGGCCATAGGGCTATAGGGCTTTAAGGCTATAGGGCTATAGGGCTATTCGGACTATAGGGCTATAAGGCTATAAGGCTATAAGGTGATTGGGCTATAGGACTATAGGGCTATAGTGCTCCTGGGCACCTGGGCACCTGGGCACCCGGGCACCCCCGGGCACCCCCGGGCACCCCTGGGCACTTGGGCACCCGGGCACCCAGGCAGGCCTCCGAAATCGGCGGCGAACCTCACCTAACCAAATGAATCCGCTAGGACCCCTACAGAGGCAAGCTCTGATTGGGGAATGAATCCGCTAGGACCCCTGCAGAGGCAAGCTCTGATTGGGGAAAAATGGAGCGCCATGATTGATCATCATCATCCTCTTCCTCCTCGTCCTCTTTGTCCTTCTCCACCTCCTCCTCCTCACTTCTCCTCGTCCTCCTCCTCCTCGTCCTGCTCATCCTCCCTCTTGTCCTCCTTGTCCTCCTCCTCGTTCTCTTCTTCCTCCTCCTCCTCCTCCTTCTCCTTCCTCTCCTCCTCCTCCATTCCTTCTCCTTACACATAACTCCGGCGGGTTGAGGGCGTGTCGTTTTCAAAATGCGGTTTTCGCTTAGCGTCGCGCACATTCGTCTGAAACATGTGCAAGACTTTCACGCATTGAGGGCTGGTCGTTTTCAAAGTGTGGCTCTCGCCTTAGCGCCGCGCACATTCGTTTGAACATGTTGTAAGAGTTTCACCCATTGAGGGCGGGTCGTGTTCAACGCCTTTGCGCCACGCACATTCGCTTGAATAATTTGCAAGAGTTTCACGGATTGCGGGCGATTCCTTTTCAACATGTGGCTCTCGTCTTAGCGCGGCGCACGCTCGCGTCGCAAAATTTGTAGGAGCTTCACGGATTGAGGGCGGCTCCTTTTCAAAATGCGTTCTCGTTTTAGCGCCGCGTACATTCGTTTTTTATTTAAAATTTGCAGGAGTTTCACGAATTCCCATTTTCAACGCAACCGACATTTTTGTGTAGGAGAGATTCATGATTATGCGGGCGCAACAGTTATGTTGATCCGCTGTGTTGAAGTCCCAAAAACGGCGTCCCCGCATGATTCTGGATCGTCAAGACGCAGCAGTCAGGTTGATACGTGGCGTTCAAATCCCGAGAACAAGGTTCTGGGGCTCCAGGCGCAAAGGGGGCCTGGTGGTTTTTGTGCGTGTTGTTTTAATAAGAAAACCTATGCGAGTCTCTCTCTACGACTCCTTCTCTCTCTCTCTCTCTCTCATTATTTTTCTCTATGTGTTTCCGTTTCTCTCTCTCTCTCTCTCTCTCCCTGTCTCTCTACATGTTTCCATTGTCTTGCGTCAAACCTGCGCCGATCCTTCTCCCACCTAGCCGAGAGCATTTGAAACCTTCACAACAGGAACCCTTTGGAAAGCACCACAAAGGGATTCCATGTGAAAGCCTCTCAACAGGAACCCTTTGAAAGGCACCACAAAGGAGTTCCATTGGAAAGCCTCTCAACAGGTCTTCATTTGGGAAGCGCTACAAAAGGATTCCATTTGAAAGCATCTCAACAGGATTCCTTTGGAAAGCACCACAGAGGGATTCTATTGGAACGCCTCACAATCGGAATCTGTTGGAAAGCGCCACATAAGGATTCTATTGGAAAGCCTCTCAGCAGGATTCGTTTGGAAAGCCCCACAATGGTACCATTGGAAAGCCTCTCAACAGGATTCCTTTGGCAAGCCCCACAGAGGTACTCTATGGGAAAGCCTCACAATCGGATTACATTGGAAAGCTTCACAATCTGATTCCTTTGGGAAGCACCCCGAAGGGAGTCTGTTGGAAGGCCTCACAACAGGAACCCTTTGGAAAGCACCCCAAAGGGATTCTAGTGGAAAGCCTGACAGCAAGAACCCTTCGGAAAATGCTACAAAGGGTTTCAATTGGAAAGCGTCACAAAGGAAATCCTTTGGGAAACTACACAAAAGGGATTCCATGGGAAAGCCTCACAATTGGAATCTTTTGAAAAGCGCAACAAAGGAATTCCATTTGAAAGCCTCACATCAGGAACCCTTTGAAAAGCACCACAAAGGAGTTCCATTGGACAGCCTCTCAACAGGATTCCCTTGGAAAGCACAACAGAGGGATTCTATTGGAAAGCCGCAATCCAAACTGCTACCGTTGGGAGGATGGCGCTGGAACACAAATCCTCACAACAGGAACCCTTTGGAAACCATCACAACAGGAACCCTTTGGAAATCCTCACAACAGGAACCCTTTGGAAATCATCACAAAGGGATTCCATTGGAAAGCCTCCCAACAGGATCCCATTGGAAAGCACAACAGAGGGATCAAATTGGAAAGCCTCACAACAGGATTCCTTTGGAAAGCACCCCAAAGGGATTCTCATGGAAGGCCTCTCAACAGGATTCCGTGGGAATGCATCACAGAGGGAGGGTTCAGCGCCGCAGGTACGAACCCCTCCCGCGACCTCCTCCCTGCGACTCCTCTCCATCCTCTTCCTCCTCCCCCTCCTCCCCCATCCCCCCCTTCTGAAGGAATGCAACAACTTTGGGAAAACCATTAGAAAAAACCAACAAAAAAACAAAGAAACCTAAGTGCTGGAAACGAAAACGTTAGGAAACCCATTGGAAAAACAAAAAAAAAATCCACAGAGAGTGCGGGGATTCCCTTTGGACGTGTCCCTTCGGACGGGTGTTCCCCGCACTCTCTGTGGAATCTTTGTTTTTTTTTGTTTTTTTTGGTTTTTCCAATGGGTTTCCTAAACTTTCCGTCTCCACCACTTAGGTTTCTTTGTTTTTTTTGTTTTTCCAATGGTTTTCCCAAAGTTCTGGCATTCCTTCAGAAAAGGGGGAGAGGGGGAGGAGGCGGAGGAGGACGAGGAGGAGGAGGAGGAGGCCCGCACTCTCTGTGGAATCTTTTTTTTTTTTGTTGTTGGTTTTTTGGGTTTTTTTTCCGATGGGTTTCCTAAGCTTTCCGTCTCCACCACTTAGGTTTCTTGTTTTTTTTATTTTCCAATGGTTTTCCCAAAGTTCTGGCATTCCTTCAGAAAAGGGGGAGAGGGGGAGGAGGCGGAGGAGGACGAGGAGGAGGAGGAGGAGGAGGAGGAAGAGGAGGATGATCGGGAACAGGATGAGGAGGAAGACGGAGAAGGATGAGGAGGAAGAGGAATGCGCTACGAACGAAAACACACAGAAGAGAGAGCGAGAGAGAGAGAGAGAGAGACGCATGAAACCCTCGGAGGGCCGAAAGCCCGCCGAATCATCCAGTCTGGAGCTGGAAAAGATCACGCTTAAAAACCACCAGGCCCCCTTTGCGCCTGAAGCCGGTTCTGGCACGCCTCAGGATATTCAAACGGTTGTCTTCCAACGAGCCAGTTCCTTCAATGGAAATGAACCGCTGTAGGGGCCTACGAAGAGGGAGCTTGGAGAGAGGGTTAGTTCCAACATCGTTGGTGACTCTTGGGTTTCCACTGGTCCTCCTCCTCCTCTTCCTCCTCCTCCTCCTTCTCTTCCTCCTCCTTCTCCTCCTTCTCCTTGGTCGTCCTCCTCGACATGCTCAAGTGCTACGAGATGGTCAGGCATTCAGCCATCCTCAGCGAGTGCAGGGCGAACAAGTTCCCCATGCGCTTGGCATACATGCTGGTTTTGCATGACGAGCAGGTGCGCTCCATATTCGCATACAGTTCTTTCTCTCGAGCTCAGCAGGTGTGCCAAGGTATTTTGGCAGGATGCACGTATGCCACCACGATGATGATGGTCCTCCCCACGCGCAGCATCAAGTTGACCACCACTGTTGCGAAGGAGGTACGGCCGAGAGACCTAGTCGACGACGTGGCTTTGAGTTGGACGGGCCTAGACCCCCGCGGCTCTCGGTTTGTGGCTACGGCGTGCCGTGTGTTTCGCGAGTCAGTGCGCGCCTTGGGCTTTATCTGGTAATTCGACAAGCCAGGCCACTTAGCGATGACACGTCAAACGGCTTATCATCTCAAGTCGTTCGCCAGGATGGTCAGTATTGTTGGCAGGCGTCACATGCGGCATCGTGGCCACGACCTTGGAGCTGCAGCAGCCGCGCGTGGGGTGCAGAAGGACCGCCTGAAGAAGATGCACGGCAGGAAGGCCATAATCCGTGCCCTTCAGTGGGGAGCTGGACGTGCCAAGGCAACCAGAATTTGGACCGCAGGCGCGCTCCCCTCGGTCGGCCACGGTGCAGCTGTCAAGGGCACCAAAGACAGCGAGCTGAAGCAGATGAGGAGCGTTGCTGGGAGTTTCTGTGGGTGTTCAGGCTCGGGCTCGCTCGCCCTCTACCTCGCTGCGCAGAAGCAGCGCGCATATGGCCCGATCTATCATGCCACATGGAGCATCCTGCACCTGGTTTCTGCCTGGGTATGGGGGCTTCGCGGATCGCCGTCGCGCCTTCAGAAGGCGTGGGTTGCGCTGAGAGACCAGACCAGGGATGTTTCTCAGTTTACCTGGGCTAGCGCCAGAGGCCCGCTGCCAGCACTCTGGCTCACGCTGAAGCGAGTGTGCTGGGACATGGCGTCGTCCACGGTGGTCGTCGACGACCTCAGCGTAGCGTATGAGTTGCTCAGGGTGTCCCCTAGCGAGTTGAAGTACCGCAGGTTTGCCGGCCTGGAGAGATGGCAAAGTCACAGGGTTCTTGATCACCTTCCTGGAGCTTCGCAGCGGGAAGAAGGAGGTGGCCGTCGGCACATCTGGATGCGTGCTCTGAGGAAAGGCCACTTGCAACCGCTTTCCAATGGTATCCGAGGTGATCTGGCCAAGTTGCAGTTTAACGGTGTGCGGTCGTCTGAGAGACGGCGTCAAGCTGGCCACTCGGACAACGCGAGCTGCGAGTTCTGTGGCCACGAGCCCTCGGACCTAGAGCACGAGATCTTCTACTGTTCGATCCGCGAGCCGCAGGAGGACGAGGAGGGGCACCCCTGCCCCGACGACGTCTTGCAGGTCAGGAAGGACATCTGGAGTCAGGGGCAAACAGGAGTTGGCCTGGAGTGGGACTTCACCCTCGTCAGCATGCTCTACGCCATTCCTCTGAGGCCTGTGTTCAGGCCCCCCGAGCCTTGCGCGCTGCCTGTCAAAGATCGGGGTGCAGTGACGGTCCCGTGGCCAGGAAATGTTTATGGTGATGGTTCTTGTTTTGGCAGTGGTTTCCCTGAGCCCTGAAGATGCGGCTGGGCCGCGGTGGCCCTCGCGCCCAGCCTCGCCCCTTGCAAAGCGATGTTTGGCGGCCTTGGCTGCCCTCTGTGCCCCGCGCAGAAAGATTTGCTGCGCTGCGCGGGCTGGAAGTTGCTGCCGGGCCGACCGAGTTTGTCGCAGATCATTTGAGTCTCGCCCGTGAAGGGGCCGCGTGGGATGGCAAGCATGCTAGACCTCTGGCCCCGCACTCTAGCGTCTGGCGCACAATTCATCAGTTGTACAGTTCTGACGAACGCCGACCTGTTTCTACCTGGACCAAGGCCCAACGTTCTTTCGACGAGGGTCTTTCTGCGCGCATCGACCCGGGCGAGGCGCAGGAAAACGTGTTCGGAAACAAGTGGGTCGATTGTTTCGCGAAGATGGCCGCGCTGGAGATGTCGGGGTCGTCTTCGATCGCCGAGGGTTTCAGGTTTCAGTTGGAGCGAGCGCTGAGCCGAATGAGGTGCCTTGCGTTTGCAGCGGAGAGGCGGAGAGGATGGCGAAGATGGCCACACCGATTGTCAAGAAGCCCCTTGCGCCAGCCCCCGGGGTTCGGCGCGCGAGGAGGCCAACCACGCATGTTTTTTCGTCGGCTTCCCCGAGGGAGCTCTCGGTTGCAAGATTTGTTGAAGGCAGGCCGCCGCCCTCTCCTCTCTCAAGTCTCTGTCTGCCCGTCTCTGTGATCCCCAAACTCCAGGGCCTGGCCACCTTGTGCAAGTGTCAGAGCGCGCGCTTATTTGCACGCGCTGTGGAGCGCACGCGGTGCGCCCACAGCGACTCTCGGTCGGCCTGGCGCGAGCTTGCAAGGGAGGCAGGACTGGGGCGTCGGGGGGTCGGGCGGAGGGGGATCGGCTGCAGAGGCTGCTCGAGAATGTCCGGAAGGGCCGTCATCCCAAGACGGGGGAGGTCCTGGGCACATCGCTGCTGGCCGACGTGCCAGCGGATTTTTCTCGTGAGTCCGTGGACTCCCAGCAGGTGCCTCCGCGGGTGGGAGCCGGGGGCCCCGGGGCCGAGGCCGTTGGCCTGCGCGGCGCGGCGTTGCTCGAAGATGCCCCAGTTTCGGACTCACGGCCCTCGTCGGCCGCGCGAGCACCCATGCGCGGTGCTGGCACCTGGCCGCGCCGCCAGGGCGACCCCAGCCTTGCTGTGTCGCCCCATCTTGTCTCGAGGCGGCTTCGTGGTTCACCTGGCCGTACTCTGCACTGCGCCACTGCTCCTCCTCCCCCTCAAGTCGTGTCTCGGCCCAAGCTGGCATTTTGCTGGTTCAAGCCGGGAGGCAGCAGGGCGCGCACTGCAGGGAACAGTCATATTCTGGAGCATCCGGGCCCGCGACTTGAGGGGCTTTGGCGCAAGTTCCTGCTCTCATCACAAGAACACAGGCTTTGCCTGTTCTAACGTGTGTGAGTTTCGGCATATGGTTCAAACGGGGGCTGCGGTGGTGGTGCACCTGGCGGGGCGAGACTTTCTCATGATTGTGCACACTGCGGCAGTCATATTTCTTCTTGCGGCCCTGTCGGCATCGCTGGGGGCAGAGCTCGGGCCAGGCCTGAGTGGCAAGTAAGCCAGACTTATGTGCATCCTGGTGGTTGGCATTTGTTCGTTGTCTCAGCGGTATCACTCTGTACTTCAGCATTTGTTCAACCATCTGACCTGTTGTACTTCAATCAGGTGGGACATTAGGCTTTTGCGCAATGGTCTTTGTTGTTCAAAGCGGAGCCTGGCCCAGGCCCGTGTGGCAAGCAATGCAGACAGCGGCGGTACGTATTTTAGTGGTTCGGATGTTGCTGGCGTTGTCTCGGTGACCCCGCTCTGTTTCGTTGGCAGCTTTTCTGTGTTCGATATGTACCCATCGTCCGAATTCACACGTCAAGAGCACGTGCCTTGGTGGTCATTCGGTACCCTCGTTGTGTGTATGCTTGCGGTCTGGAAGTTTCGTTCTGAGGTTGTTAACTGTGTGCGTGAACATACTCACAGGCGCCAAGAGGGTAAGTTCCACATTGAACGTTGACCGATGTCGGGCGTCTCCGCAGGTTTCATCATTCGGGCGTTGTGGGTGGACGGGCAACCTTAACCATAGCCGCTGCCTCCCCTACGACTTGATGCTGGAGTTAAACAAGAAGGCCCGCACGGGCGGGAGCCCGCGCGGTCGGCGCGGGCGGGGGGCGCGGCTACGAAGTCGACCGAGCTGCCTTCCATCTCGGGTCCTCGAGTTATCCTCCTCCTCCTCTTCTTCCTCCTCCTCCTCCTCCACCTCCTCCTCCCCCTCCTCCTCCCTTCTCCTCCTCCTCCTTCTCCTCCTCCTCCTCCTCCACCTCCTCCTCCTTTTCCTCCTCGTCTTGCTCCTCCTCCTCCTCGTCCTCGTCCTCCTCCTCTTCTTATTATTATTCCTCTTCCTCCTCCTCATCCCTCCTCTCCTCCTTCTCCTCCTCCTCCTCTTCCTCCTCCTCCTCCTGCTCTTCCTCCTCCTCCTCCCTTCTTCCCTCCTCCTCTTCCTTCCCTCCTCGTTCATCCCGGGAGACGGGGCCTGAGGTCAACTTGGAGCCGCCTGGGGATCTGAGGTGGGGGTTCGGGCGGGTGGGTTTGGTCTCGTGGGTTTGATGCTTGATGCTTGTGTCGACGACGATCACGTGGTGGATGCGCACGCGTGGACGTTTCGTCTGGCCAGAAGGAAGGACGGGCAGGTTCGAGGTTCTGGGTTCGGGAAGGTTTTTGTTGCCGTTTTCGGCCTCCAGGGGTCGCTTGCGGGCGAACAACGGATCTGGGGTGAAAACCTGCACCAAGCGGACCTTGGGAGGGTCTGGGGACCGGTTTATGGCGGATTTGGTTTTCGATTTTCTGGTGCCCGCACCAGTTCAGACCCCCGGCCGCCTCAGGACCTCAGGACCGTCAGAAAACGACGCAGGACGAAGAGCTGGGCCTCCTTCCCTCAGGACTTGCTTGCCCCATGCCAAAGGCAAGCCCCAGATCGCCCCACGGCCGCGCCAAGAGCCAGAAGGGGGCCAAAAAGTTCCTGTCCGCCGCAGCGCGGCAGAGGCGATCCGCACGCGCGCTCCAGTGAGCAAGCTCGGGCACGCACTAGTTGTCCGGCGGCAAGAGGGGGGGGGGTGCGAGGCGGAGCACGATCGCGGAGGGAGGGAAGGGCGGAGCAAGAAGCCATGAGAAGGATGGGTTCCAAGATCTCCAAGGTGTCCAGCACCGCGCGGCCTTCGGAGGCCAAGGCTGCCGCAGCTCCTCCCCCTCCCCCCACCCTTCCCCCTCCTCCCCCTCCCCCTCCCCCTTCCCCCCCCCCCCTCCTCCTCCTCCTCCTCCTCCTCCTCCTCCTCCTCCTCCTCCTCCTCCTCCTCCTCTTCTCCTCCTCCTCCTCCTCCTCCTCCTCCTCCTCCTCCTCCTCCTCCTCCTCCTCCCCTCCTCCTCCCTCCTCGAAGGGGCCCTCGGAGGATGCAGAACGGCTGGAAGATATGCAGAGCCAATCGCGCATCAGCACAGCACTCCCGCCCCGAGGGAGAGAGAGAGAGAGAGAGAGAGGGCTCCAGACTGCGTTGGTCCCTTCGGCAGCCCAGGACGGCCTCGGGGCGGCCTCAAGTAGGAGGAGGAGGAGGAAAAGGAAAAGGAAAAGGAGGAGGAGGAGGAGCAGGAGGAGGAGGAGGAGGAGAAGGAGAAGGAGGAGGAGAAGGAGGAGGAGAAGGAGGAGGAGGAGCAGGAGGAGGAGGAGGAGCAGGAGGAGGAGGAGGAGGAGAAGGAGGAGGAGAAGGAGGAGGAGAAGGAGGAGGAGGAGCAGGAAGAGGAGGAGGAGCAGGAGGAGGAGGAGGAGGAGACTGCGTTGGTCCCT